CAACATCCAATCCCAAAGCTTGAAGATTAATCACGGGGACAGTAGTCCTAAACGATAGCTGGGGATTATGGGTAGTGTAGTGTCTTCGGCCATCCTAAACTCAGAAATGTTTTTCGGATTTGATATGGCACCATAACACCATATCCCTACATGCATTGCGGCTAAAATATCCAATCAGCAAGCTTAAACCATAGCTGAGGATCTTGGGTAATCAGTTCAGTGACTGTGTATCGCAATGATGCTTGAAATGTCCCTTACAGGCCTACGTCTGTTTCCGGTTATTTTTATTTTGAAATTCAGTTCCTGACGGACGCCAAAAAAGCCAGAGATTATGGAATTTAAAAAATAAATAAAAACAAGGATAATTGTGTGTTATTGGTGAGTAAATAACAGTGTGTTATTTAGAAAAGAATAACAAATTAGAAGGAAAAAAAGATTTAAAAAAATACAGATTTCAGTATTCTGAGGCTCTGAGCCCCATTTATTTTCCTCACAGACGACAAAAAAAGTCCGACATTATACGATTTAAAATAAAAACAATAATCGTGGCTTGATATTGAGTAAGAACATGTTTTTATGAACTCCACAGCTTACGGTCTTCCAAGACCCGAACGGACAAAAAGACGTGCTGCAGGCACGAAACATACTACCAATAGAAATACATTGCTTTTTAAATCGTTCTGTGTGACACGAAAAAAAGGGGAAAATCGTGTTGGTGAACACGAATCAATAGATTAAATGTCGTGACTATAACACGAAGTGCCGTGAGACTGGGTTGGTTCACACCGGACTCTAATCGCTCGAGTTTCACCGCGGCTGTCAGCTGTGTGTACTCGCCTCATTCAAACAGGACATGCTGACGAGGGGGCGGGGCTTATTTCCATGTAGATACTATGGTATTAATAATAACAGATTAATTTTGTTAGCGCTTTTACAGGTGCTCAAAGACGCTTTACAGATATAGTGAAAATAAAAGAACAACAAATAAATATATATAGTGAAGCAGTGTTATAGCAGAAAGTTTAATACAGCGTATTTCTGGTATATTCATTTTAAATATGTCACCTGATATATAAGAAGTGTGTTTTTATATATTCATGTGTATACTTAATTACTTTGTATTATATAGTAGCAGTAACAAGAAGCTGGAAATATGAGAAGTGAAAGCTTTGTATTTGGAGTAGTGGAGATGTGGGAGCCTTACAACAGCACAAATCTCTGGAATGCTGCAGGATAAAATGAGTGTGCGTTACACATGCTAAGGGAAATGAGTGTGCGCTACTATTTCACTGCTTGAGAGCAGAGGTAATGTTTTCCTCGTTATTATTGATATTAAAGTAACTTACATGTATTACTTGTATTTGTCAACTATAAACAACTATATATTAGACATATCTTTAAAATGCCAAGGGTGTGTGGAGCTGTGTGTATTGAACTGATGGGGGAGGCGGCCGGAGAGAGGGAAATCTATGCAGAAAATGTGTGTGTGTCCAAACTGCAGGAATGTGGAAACACGGACACCAGAGGTGTTTGTTTTGCCCTCAGACTGAAGAGACTCTTTTTCTGGGCTGCCTCCTGGCTGGCTCGCGCTGATTCGCTACGACAGCCCATCATTTTTATATCGCCCAATAGATGACCCCTCTGGGAGGAGCATCCACACAACTCCTCCTGTTGTTCTTACATGTATGCTGTTGTGTGTTTTGTTCGGCCTCTTTTCCTCCTGCCGTCAAGATAGTGAGTTCTCCCGGCACTGGGAACAGAGCAGGGGTGGGCCTACTCCTTTTAAAATGTATTGTTGTTCTATTACCATTAAAACAGATTATTGTTTAACCCTGTATCTGGTGCTTTGAATTCCTTCTTTTATAAATTTGACTAGCTCATTAAAGGACGCGCTGAGCCGAGGTGGGTTTCAGACCACTCCTTGCTCCAACAATAGTTAAAGTCAAATTAAAATCAAGCAATACAAAAACAATCACACATTAAAAGCCAGATTGAAGAGGTGAGTCAAGTTTTTTGAAGGTGGTGAGGTCAGTGCAGTCTCTGATGGGTTGTGGGAGTGGGCTCCAGAGGGAGGGGGCAGCAACGGAGAAGGCTCTGTCCCCCTAGGTCCGGTGATTGATGCGGGTGGGGATGGATAGGAGGTTGGCTTCTGATGAGCGGAGGCAGCGGGAAGGGTCTGGTGGTGCAGGTCTGTGAGGTAGGAGGGGGGCCTGATTGTTGAGGACTTTGTGAGTAATCAGGAGGACTTTGAAGTCGATTATTTGACGGACGGGGAGCCAGTGGAGGTTCTGGAGGACGGGAGTGATGTGGTCTCGGGAGCGGGTGTGGGTGAGGAGATGGGCAGCAGAGTTCTGGATATGTTGGAGTTTATTGAGGAGGTTGGATGGTATGCCGTAGAGGATGCTATTGCAGTAGTCGGGTCGTGAAGTGATGAATGCATGAATCAGGTTTTCAGCAGAGGAGGGGAGTGATGGGCGGCAATGTTTTTGAGGTGGAAAAAGGCGGTCCTGGTGATGTGATTGATGTGGTGGTTGAATTTGAGCTGACTGTCGAAGATGACTCCAAGGTTGCGGATGTAAGGGGGGGGGAGATAGAGTGTGGCTGTTAATGGTGAAGTTGACATTCTGGATGGTTTTGGTACGGGATGGGGGGCCTATGATGATGATGATGTCTGATTTGGCACTCTTCAGTTGGAGATAGTTTATTTGCATCCATGCTTTTATTTCTGAGAGACAGTTGGTGAAAGTGGAGTGTGTTGTGGGGGTGATGGTTTTTGTTGAGATAGAAAGTTGGATGTCATCAATGTAGCAGTGAAATTGAAGATTGTGTCGACGAATGATTTTGCCAAGGGGGAGCATGTAGACTAGAGGATGAAGAGGAGGGGGCCAAGCACCGAACCCTGGGGGACGCCTTGGGACAGAGGAGCAGTGGGAGGAGGTGCAGTTGTTGATGTTGATAAACTGATGTCTGTCAGTGAGGTAGGATTTCAGCCAGGAGAGTGCAGTGTCGGTGATGTTGAGTGATGATTCGAGGAGGGACGGCAGGATGGTGTGGTTGATGGTGTCGAATGCTGCGGTGAGGTCGAGGAGGATGAGGATGTTCAGATTGCCGGAGTCAGAGGAGAGGAGGAGGTCGTTTGTGATTTTGAGAAGAGCTGTTTCTGTGCTGTGTTTTGATCGAAAATCGGATTGAAATGGCTCAAAGAGGTCATTGGAGCTGAGGTGGGATTTAAGTTGTGATGCAAAGACACGTTCAAGTATTTTTGACAGAAAGGGGAGATTTGAGATGGGCCGGACGTTGGACATCATGTCAGGTGTGAGTCCAGGTCTTTTGAGAATGGGTGTGATAGCAGCCAGTTTGAGAGAGGTGGGAACTGATCCAGATCTGAGGGAGGAGTTAATGATGGTAGCGGTGAGTTGGGAGATGGCAGGGAGGCTCTCTTTAACACATTTGGAGGGCATTGGGTCAAGTGTGCAGGTGGAGTTAATTCCAGTCATGAAGTCGGACAGTTGCATGGGGGTCACAGGGGAGAAGTGGGACAGGGGCTGTGAGGTGAAGGGGGGGAGCTAGGAGGGGAGGTGGGGGGTGTGATGAGGGTGTCAGTTTGCTGTAAATGTTGCTGATTTTGGTTTGGAAAAACGAGAGGAAGGAGTTGCACTGTTCGGTGGAGAAGGATGAGGTGGCGTTGTCACATATAATTATACAATTCTGTAACTTATTGAATCACTAGTAAGTGATTTTGAAAAAACACTACAACCACAACAGTGATTTTGCAAAACCACTAATCAGCCAGTGATTTCACAGAATCACCAGTGTTCTTGCACACTGTAAGACCGAACATTACAAGCTTCTGAAAGAAAATTGATTGTTTTAACTCAAACATTTAAAAAAGTTAATTCACTGCTAATTTTCTGATGACTATGAACTGATTTGTAATATTGTGTATACAGTGTTCAACCACTTTGGGTCATATTGATAATAGTACTCAAACATTTTTACTGAATCTGTCTGACGCTAGTATGACGTCATCACGTATGTGCTCCGCCCCCGACGTGCCTAGACAGTAGGCAGTGGCGGCTGGTGGAAAATATTTTTGGTGGGGCTGTTGATATAGTGAGTAAACAATTTTGTTTTGGGAGAAATTACCCCTTAAATTAGGACTTCTGGTGATGTAATGGCGCGTTTCCAGTGCAGCGCGGAGCTCGCTTTAATGCTGCGTTCAGACCAGACGCGATGCGAATATTCGCTTCGCTCTAAACGCTCCTATCGCATCGCTCTAGTCCAGTGCTTCTCAAAGTGTGGTCCGCGGACCACTGGTGGTCCGTGAGCGCCCCCTAGTGGTCCGTGAGTATATTGGTAAAATTTCACATTTTAAATACATTTTAAGTTTTTCGCACTCTCGCGGGAATATCTCCGCAATGGAACGAGCTTAAGTTTCACGTTCGATTGCATGATATAGCCCAGATAAGCACCTTCATCACACATGTTGCCACTTGTTTGTACAATTTTCAGGCGATTTGTAAAAAACGATGTGTTTTTGGATATTTGTGGAGTTAGGTGGTCCGCGAGTGTTTTTTTATTGGTTAAGTGGTCCTTGGTATGAAAAAGTTTGAGAAACACTGTTATAGATGGATAGAGAGAGAGATTTGTACCTAAACAAAACACAAGTCTAACACCAAGCGTTTAAATCAGCATTCTTAGCGATATTTTATACTTCATGCTATCTGCAAAAACTATATCATATGAAAAGCTGAGAGTCCACAGATTCTATTGGTATAAGTTTCATCCCTGTGCGATCAACACTCACTGTTCTGTATGATAAATAAAATAACATTGTACCTTGCAAATCAATAGCGGGTACATTTTACCCGTTGGTGGTTTTAGGTATACAGCGACCTCTGGCGGTTCTAGTGTTAAATGTATCATTCAAACTTAAAAGCTTACAAGGTTTAAAAGATACCTTCTCCTTTTAAAATGAGAAAAAGTCACGAGACAGAAAACAGAATCCAGCTCAAAACGTTTATTCAGTCATCAGAAACTTCAATGTTAAGTTTCACAGGAGAGGAGGATTATGGGTAATGTAGTCAAACATGATCATCTACATATGATCAGATCAGGTGAACTCTGAGGATCAGCTGGGATCTCTCAGGTGACTTCAGTTCTTCCCCCCCATGGTGTGCTTGTCGAACAGGTACTCGGCCATCTTGTTGGTGTTGGAGTCCATTCTGCTCAGATTAGAGATGAAGTCTCCGAGCTTCTTGATGGACTCGACCTGCTCGTTCAGGTAGTGAGTCTCCAGGAAGTCACACATCTGAGGAGGAGAAGAGAGCAGACGTTAACAACTAAAGCTTCAGAGACGTTGAATCCCAGAGATCATCAGTGTGTAGTTCCTCATGTTCAGCAGGTGTTACTCACATGAGGGTCGGCGTGGTCTGAGGCCAGTTTGTGCAGATCCAGCAGAGCCTGGTTCACGTTCTTCTCCAGCTGCAGAGCGGCCTGCATGGCCTCCAGACCCGAGCCCCACTCGTCTCGCTCTGGCTTCTGTAACGAGGGAACACCAGTTAGAGGGGGAGGGTACATAAAGCAAAGAGCCTCAGTCTTAGTTTGAAATAAGTGAGAAACATGTTTATTTAAGACAGATTTAGGAAAGCCACCACTAAGTGTGTCCCTTTAGAATAACCCGTATGCACTTGCAGTCTACATCACTTCTTCATTTAAGCACACTAGTTTCTCATGTTTACATAAGACATTTAAAAATATTTGTTTATGTACTTTTTTTTATATGCATTTAATTATATTTTGTACTGGAGCCCAAAGCTTTATTCACAAGCTGCTGTAACAAGAATAAAAACCCTTTAAAGTACATTTAATCTATTAGACGACATGTCAATATACATACTAACATTAGTCCTGTGCAATAAAGCTTGAGAACAGGACGAGGTGCAAATGGAAATATTCTGTATCTTTCCAAGACAAGCCTTTAATGCATCCGTTAAAGTCAACGCCCTGTTGCATTGTGGTACATATAGTTGGATAAATGAACCCCACCAGTCTAAATAAGCTTTCTCACGGCGCTGCCAAGTCACCTGAGCCGAGAGCCAATGAAATCTGTGGCTTTAACGGCACGAGGATGTTGAGATTTAGGGTAAAATAAATCACGTATTTAAACTCTACACATGGAGCTGCTGTGATGCAAGGAGCATCTCAGACTTGATCTGACCATTAAAGGATTCTCGTATCGTAGAGGTCCTGCAGATATTTACCTTGATGTCCTGCAGGAAGATGCGTCCTCCTCGACTGTTCTGGAAGGTGAGCAGCTTGTCGGCGTGCTCCCGCTCCTCCTCGCTGGTCTCCTTGAAGAAGTGAGCGAAGCCGGGCAGGGCCACGTCGTCACGGGAGAAATAAAAGGCCTGCAGACAGAAGACAGAGGTTAGCGAACAGACCGCTCGTTACACACAGAACAGGTCGAGACAAACGGTCGTTATGAGCCGAGGGCAGACAGAAACATGAGTCATGATTTCAGGGTGGGGATAACAACCAGCGTAAGCATGACACAGCATTATGTGGGCTGAATTGTGGACAGGGACTAGAACAGTCACAAATGGAAGCAGTATTTAGATCCATAACTTAAGAAGAAGTACTATCATCTTAAAATACTAAACTGTCTGATTAGATAAAGTCAGTAAAACCCGTTCAGTCTGAGGTAGAAACAGAGGAGGGTCTGTAATCTAAAGACACTTTAACAGAAGTGAGAATAATGGAGTCTGTAGCCTTTAGGTTATGCTAATGCGTGTTAAAACAGGGATTCTGTGATTTGATGATATCTGTAAAACAATAGTCTGCTATCTTGTATTTGTACACCCTGCATCACCAGATGACTCCACGGTTATGGAGATCATGTTGTATTTGATTGGGTACCAAACAGTTCAACAGCTTTTACTTTGTGTGTGTCGTTGGCTCGAGGCACTTGTGTTTTGCCCACCAGAGACTACGTGGTTCCCCTGTGACGTTAGCTTGTTTACTCATAATACACTTACACCATTTAATACAGGCACACAATGAACATGTAACGGTGTAAAGAGTGTTTGTTACCATGGAGGTGTAGGAGTAGGAGGCGAACAGCTCCATGTTCAGCATCCGGTTAACGGCCGCCTCGCAGTCGCGGTGGTAGTTCTGTCTCACCTGGGAATCCATCTCAACTGGCGTTTCTTCGCTGTTTTTCTTAACAAAACGGTACAAAAATAAAGCTTACGAAGACTCTTCGGTAGTGCAGATTGAAGCAGAGGTTTTTTCCTGTGTGTCCGGAATGGATTTAAGTGCGAATTCAGATCGAGATGAAGGAAAAGTCCCGTTCAAACTCTGTTGAAGCAAGAACTGTTTCTTCCCGAGAGTGAAATGGCAGTTGAGTCGCTTCCTGTATTTATACCAGACGGGGGTCGTGGCGTCACTGCGCGTCTCCTCCAATCAGTGAGCTTTGGAGATCACGTGACGGTGACTAAGCATTCTCTCTTCAGACTGGTGACAATGACTCAGCCGTTTTGACATCAAGTTTATATACAGAAAATGTTATATACATATTCTTTATTATAATTAATTTCATTGTATTCATCTTTTTTTTTGCACATTTTAACTTGAAATAATAATATAAATATTTTTCTATTAGGTGACTTTTTTAAAAACCTTTCTATTCCACATTTAACTTTTACTTCTTGTGTTTTTAAATATTTTACCTTTTTGTTTTATTCTATTCTAAAAGCCACTTTACTTCTACTCCAATGCAAGTCAATACTGTAATTTTTACTTAAATGCAACAACATGTATTTCATTTTTGTAATTGCTGTCAACACCTATCCATGCTGAACGTTGCTAAGATATTATTGATTGGGGTGTGGCCAAAAGTGCAATATGCTTCAAAATGTAGCTGACAGAGAGCAGTGCTTTTGTCCTGTGTTTTTACACTGTGCCCATGGATTTGATTTGATTAGTTTTTATTAGTTAGTAGTTCAGCCTCTTTGTGTTCACGTTAAGCTTCATTGTGGTCACTTTGAGCATCTATATTCATTTATAAAACGGACAAGTCAAATCAAGCAATCTGATTGGTTCTTAGCCGTGATATACTGAGCGTATACCACGGGTAGAATTGTAGTTACTTTTCACAACAGGTCAGTATCCCTCCGCGTCTGAGTTGCAGTTTGCTTTTCAAACTGGAACAAGAAAGCAGCGGAGAAGCAACGGGGCAGAAACCCTCCTTTTCACGCAGCGGTCCAGACATAGACATCAGACGGCGACACATATTCAGTGTGCAGTTCCTTTGGCATTAGGGCAGGGATATCTAGATACTTTCCAAGGTTTGACATCATGAATTGTGCTACTTTTAAAGCAAGCAACGATGTTTTCAAATCTGTAATCAAAGAGGTCCGCAAAAACACTATCGACCAATCAGATTGCTTGATTTGACTTGTCAGTTTTATAAATATATTTACATTTCTTCCGTTACGAAACAAACTTACAAAGCATAAGATGGAAACATTTAAGGTTAACTTGGACCTCCGGGGGGGTCTTACTATGGAGGATTGGATTGAGCAGTGCCTATCTCCAGAAAGCCCCTAAACGACGACATGCAGAGCTACGTGACGAGCAGGCAGACCAACTGGAAAAGTAGCACCATTCAAAAGCTTTCTGATGGGGTCTTGAAACAAAGCAGAGACATGATGACCGTTAGTGGCCACAGGTGCAAAGCTCTCTCCAGAGCTGCTGGAAGCCCAATCTCGGGGACCGGAGAAAGTGGAGCAATATTCTCACCACGCCGACCAACAGCCGAACAGGGATCACCAACTACATTTGTCCAATGGCCAAAATGTATCCAATAGACACTATCGCGGGCCAGCGATTTTTATATAGCCCAGAATTTTGAAGTGGGGGGGGGGGGTGCTAGTGGAGCACGCTCAGGTACTGTGGACCGCATAAAGCTTAGCAGACTCTTCACGCTAACGAAGGATCACTTCTAGGCAGGGTTGGGAGGGTTACTTTGTAAATGTAATCAGTTACTGAATACATGCTCTGAAAGTAATCAGAATACAGTTACAGGTCTTAAAAATGTATTCAGATTAATTTTAGAATACTTTTGGATTACTTTCTTTTTCCATAACAGATGGGTATGTTTTGGTGAACAGGAGACACGTATGTTACTGTTTTAATGGCTTATCAAGAACTCAAACACAACATCTTGGTGTCATTCTGGACAGCTCTCTCATCTGCACCACACATAAAAAACATCACCCGGACTGCATTCTTTGTACTGTCTTAAAACCTTTCCTTAGAATATGTTATGAATTGTAAGGTGTCCTTGGGTGCTTTGAAAGGCGCCCCTAAATAGAATGAATTATCATTATTATGTATTATCTGAAACGATGTAATAACTTTTAAAACTTTTTCCAGTCACTTGCCCCATGCATTCAGCAGCAGCAGGCCATTCACTTTGATTTGATCCCGTTATAAATGTCATCATCTCGACAATAAAGAAATGCTACATAAACGTTATCTTGCACATTTTATCTAACCATCTCCGTTTCTAACTTTCAATATAGTTTAAAAGAGATCTCTCTCTCTCATCTGCGTGCGGGGGCGGGGCCTCACAGACACACTGCATCTCTCTCTCGCTCACAGACATGCTGCAGCACTGTGCAGTGTGCACACAGCTCTGCCGGCAGGGGCGGCGCCAGGGGGGAGCTAGGGGGTGCTGAAGCACCCCCCAGGATTGCCAAAGCACCCCTAAGCACCCCCAAGAAATATGTGTTTTTTTTTTTTTTTCGAAAATTATTATTATTATTTTTATTAAATTAGAAACATTATTGATTACATCAATGCATATGTGAAACAAACACATTTTTGACCAAAAACATAAAGCCAACACAGGTGATATGATTAGGCCAATGGTCAGCACCCATTCGATTTTTGACCTACCCATAGGCTAAATTACTTTGTGACACTTGATTGACTTCCTGTTAGCTAGAGCGCCAAATGATTTGCTAACAGCAAAGTGAAAAATGGATCGTTTTTTAGTCCTTAAACGACCACGTGTGGACACTCAATCAAAACCAACTGAAAGCGAGAGGGATTCTGCACATACTAGGCCTCGTGAGTACAAGTAGCTTACTTCTGGGTCTCTGTGTTTCATTCAAGCCCTGCTCTGTGTGTGTGTGTGTGTGTGTGTGTGTGTGTGTGTGTGTGTGTGTGTGTGTGTGTGTGTGTGTGTGTGTGTGTGTGTGTGTGTGTGTGTGTGTGTGTGTGTGTGTGTGTGTCACGAGCCATTTTGTGTGCGTGCGTGCGCGAGCGAGCGAGAGAGCTCGCCTCGCGCACCAGTGGGTATCTACCGGAGATCGTTGTGGTTAGCATCTGGTGCTAGCTAGCCAAGCTAATGGATATAAGGAGCTTTTTCAACAACAAGGTGGAGGGAGAACTCTCTCCTGTCAGACGGAGAGTCTCAGGTAACCTCAACTCAGGTGAAGTAAAGGACTCTCTCAGTGTTTAGATAGTTAACTTTAGTCTAGTTATCTCAGTGGGTCTCAAACGGTTTGTTTTAAAAGGGGAGTGATTTGTAAAATATCTATAAAGAAATAGAAAATCTGTTGACAGTTCTGTTTCGTATGGGTGTTGAGATGTATCCATAGATCTCTTAATGTTGCTCCCAAAGTGCACCAGATTGATGCTTTTAACTTAAATATGTAACAAAAAATCTTCCCGGGGAAGCTAGCCCCCGGACCCTCCTAGAGGAGGTGAGGACCCTCCTAGAGGAGGTGAGGTCCGCTCCCCACTTGTAAAAATAGCACTTTACCCCTGCCTATATGCCGTGAGCTGATTATCGAGCCTTTATTGTAACAGTCGCGGGTGCACTGTGTGTGTGTGCGTGGGGAGTGTTGCAGTAGAAAATTCAACTGTAGCGCTGGTGCATTAATGGAGAACCCTAAATGTTTGAGCACCCTCTATGAAACGTCAAGCTACCCCACAGCACCCCCTAGAGAAAATCTCTGGCGCCGCCACTGTCTGCCGGTAATGAATATTACATTTTGTGAGGAAACTTTTCCACCAATAATTCCAATAAGTATTCCAAAATGTATTCACTTCAGGTTTACGAAAGTAACTGTAATCAGATTACTCGTTTTTCAAATGTAACGCCAGCTGAATACAGTTAGCCTACTTGATTTTTGTATTCTGATTACGTAACACCGTTACATGTATTCCGTTACAACCCAACCCTGCTTCTAGGCTACTGTCCCGCAGCTCCTGCCTCTCTGTTGGACTCTGTCGCAGCGGGGCTGCTGCTGTGGTGCGGAACGCACAAAGCAGACTCTTTACAACCAAGGATCACTTCTCGTTCAAGGCAGGAAAGGTTTTGCAGTACGCAGTCTACTGTCCCGCAGCTGCTGCCTCTCTGTTGGACTCCGGTACTGCACCTTACTCACGGGACGTTGAAAAAAAAAAAATGGGTGGGAGACGTACGCAGTAACCACTCCGCCAACGCCACAGTCACCCCCGTCGTGCGGGCCGGATGAGAATGTCTGGCGGGCCGGATGTGGCCCGCGGGCCGCCAGTTGGTGATCACTGGCCTAGAACAACCTCAACCTATACAAGTGACCTCGTAAGCCATGCTACTGATGCTGGGCAGTTTCTCAGTGGCTGCACAACAAACACATTCATGTAAATAAATAGCCAAATAATGGATCAACGCTCTCTTTCTAATATGTTCGCTAGCTGTTAGTGTTGTTGCATAGCAACCACCCCGCACTATGTTTCGTGCGGAGGGACTATTTTATTTTGATCATTATTTACTAATAGAAACAAATTAGAGTCTGTAATTTTCTTTCATATTGCCACACTTGGTAACCGTTTTATAAAAGCAATAGCTCACTTCAGGCCGTGATATATCCTCATTACATCACACCTAAGGGGGTTGAACCACGCCCCCTAGCGGTGATATAATGAGCATATACCACGGCCTGAAGTGAGCTATTGCTTAACACTAGAACCACCAACGGGTAAATTTTACCCGCAGCTGTTCTTTGACTGTTTGTAACTTTTTTTCAATAACATATTAAAGTCTCCCAGTCCGTGACTTCTCCTGAAAGTGTGTTATGTAGCACCCTCTGTTGTTAACAATTGTCAATATGAAGTCAGATTGAGAAACTCGCCAAAAAAAAAAGCCATTTATACCTATATCCGCCAGCGGGTAATATTTACCTCATAGAAATGCAGCGTAAACATGACGTGTTGCTATAGCAACGCCTTTTGTCTACTGCGGTTCCTTATAGATTGAGAGAGAGATAGAGAGATAGACAGACAGACAGACAGTTATAGATAGTGTAACATCTTGGAGAATACAAGATCTTGGATGACTGAGCTCAC